ATCGCATAATTAATAATGAAGAAGTGGCTCTGAAAGTTAATTTAGTTGAAGTAAAAAATATTTATACCCAGGCTCAATCGATTGCTAATTTACTGGCTAGTCAACTGCGTAAGCGTTCGCCATCCCGCCTAGTTTTGCGTAATTTACTAAATAAACTATCTTTGGAAAGAGAAGTAAAAGGAGCCAAAATACAAGTTGGTGGCCGCTTAGATGGCGGAGAAATTGCCCAACAAAGAAAGTTAGTTCTCAAAAAGATGCCTTTAAGTACCATTGATAGTAATATTGAAGTAGGTCGAGCCGAAGTAATCACTACTTACGGTAAAATTGGTATTAAAGTATTAATTTACAAAGGAAAAATTTGACAAACTAAAAAAACCTATTAGAATGAAAATCTTTGTAATTTGGTCGTGGCAAGAAAAAGTATATTTATAAGCAATATTGATGGAAAATAACATTTGAGAAGAAGTAAAGAAAAAAAAAAATGAAGTGCTGGGAAAGGAATTAGAAATTTTTGTTGGTAAATTAGATAACATTCGCAGTAATCGTATTTCCTTGGAAGCAGTTAGAGGATTAATGGTCGATTACCAGCACGGAAAAAAACCGCTAAAATCAGTGGCTAGTTTGAGAATTTCGCCGAACCATGAATTAGTTATTCAGCCTTTTGAACCAAAAATAATTCCCCAAATTACTAAAAAAATTTTAGACAGTCAATTAGGATATAAAGTCGAAAGAAACACTAAAGAAGAAGTTTGTTTTGTTTTGTCGCCTCTGACTGAGGAAATTCGCGGTCAACTTATTCGCAAGGTCAATTTAATAACCGAAGAGGGAAAATCAGCCCTGCGTCGTGTTCGGGAGAACTTTCGTAATTTAGTAAAAAAGGATGACCGTTTCTCCCGAGACCAAAAGAGAAATTATGAAGCACAAGTGGATAAGATATTTAAAGAATACCAAGACAAACTTATTACCGCTGAAAAGAAAAAAATCCAAGAATTAAGTTCTTAGAATCCTGCTTAGATTTAAACAGAAAAAGATAAAAATTTTAGTTTAAGTTCGCATGTTATCGTATTAGCAGAGGTTTTTTTTCACTAAAAAGTCAAAATTTAACTTAACTTCTTTGTCAAAGTTTACTTAAAATATTCTGCTCTTTTTTGTGAAATATGTTAACTATTTCTTTTTGGCTTTCTAATAACCTCATTTCTGGGGTTAATTCCATAATAATTTCTTGCTGTTTGGCTAGTGAGGGAACTTCTAAATTAAAGGAAGTTAGTTCAGTTTTTCTTAAAGAATTAAAAAATTGATTAGTGGAGGACATAGTAAGTAAATTGTCCTTGTGGCTTAGCAAATAATAATATAAGTAATTAGGATGAATATAATCCGATTTTGGCTCCAAGAGAAAGATTTGCTGATTACAAGTGCTATTAATTTTCTGAGGATAAAAGGGCTGGTAATTAGTTACATTGCATAAAAAAACTGAATTGAAAGTGCCGAGAGACAAATTATATTTTTTAATTGCTTGCGGGGTTATTTTTTTTGTGGTTGTTAATTTGCCTTGAATAATTTCAGCTTGGGTATATCAATTAACACATTCGCAATTTTCTGAGTGGAAGCACCAATATTCTCTAATTTTTGTGTCCGGAGTTTTGCCCGCTCTAATCGAACAAATTTCTCCCAATTTTTTAGTCTTTGTCTCATAAGAGAGAGAGAGAGAGAGAGAGAGAGAGAGAGAGAGAGAGACGATTATTTAAAAGTTTAATATTTGCTCGGCCGTTGTTAATTAATTGTTTAATATTGTCTAATTCATTAATTACTTTTTCCTGCTCGGCTAGGGTCGGAATTGGCACCGTAATTTTAGTAAAATTTTCAAAACTTAAAGTTTGACGAACACTGCCAAAAGCGTAATTTTTTACTTGCTCCTTAAATCTTTCAGACTGAAATAAATAAAAAAGGTATTCGGAAATTATTTTGTCTTCCCTTTTTATCTTAAAAACCACATACAAAGGACTAACGCAGCCTGTTTTCTTTGTATTATTGTAATTAATTGAACCCACATTAATACGGGGCGGGCTGAAAGCAAAATAATTAGGCGGAACAATTTTATAATTAGAAGTATTGTCGGAAGCCACCTTTTCCGTAAACCTTTTTTCAGCCAGCACAAAACCTTCATCATTGGTTACACTTCAAACCGGAAAATTACCCTCATTGCGGAGATTAACTTCGGCCACTAGTTCACCCAAAGCCATAATTTCATATTTAGAATCAAAAGTAAATTTTTTATAAACATTGGGAATGCTAATATAATTATTCTGGCTTACTAACTCCAAATTTAATTTGCTAAATCCCGCTTGGCTTAATTTTTCCTCTTCGCTACTGTCCCGAAAACTTAAAAAAGTATCTAAGTCGTTAGTTCCCTCTTTTTTCTCCCGTTTAGTGTTTAAAGTATAGCCATCATTTTTGACTTCATAATGTCAAACTACTTTTTGTCCGGTTTTTGAGAATACATTTCTTTTGGTTAAATAAAGAATGCTCGTTTTCACATTAGAATAAGGGGCAAAAGTTCCGGCCGGCAAAGAAATAATGTTTTCAACATAACTATTTTGATAAATGTATTCTCGTAATTTAGTAAACTTGCGGTCAAATAATATCCCCTCTGGCACAATTATGGCTATTTGCCCATCGGCATAATCCTTATTCAAGGCCGTCAGACAATGCTCGATACACAAACTATTGCCATTAGCACTACCCAAGGCGTAAAAAGCGGAGTATTCAGCATAATTTCCTAGCGAAAAAGGCATATTGGTAATTACCACATCGTATTTACCCTGAACTGGATTTTTTAAACTGTCTTGCCTTTTAATATTGTTGTGCCCATCCCCACTCAAAATCATATTCATTTTGGTAATGCGGGTGGTTTGGGTAATTTCCCCGCCGTAAATGGTGTTACTTTTTAAAATTTGTAATTTTTTGCTTTCCCGTGGCATTTTCTGGTAAATATGTCGAAAAGCTTCGATTAATATTCCTCCTGTCCCACAAAACGGGTCATAAACTTTTTCTCCAAATTTTGGATTAGTTAATTTCACCAAAAATTTAACAATATGTCGCGGAGTAAAATATTCCCCCAAATCTTTTTGTTGCTTCGATAAATAAGCCTTCAAAAAGTATTCAAAAGCGTCCCCTTTGATATCAGAATTAATATCAGTTAAAGATAAGGTTTGAGGTTGGCTAAATGGAGAGTTTTAATGACATTACCATCAGTAGCATAAATTATGGGAGCCTGGCGAACTTGGGCGTATTTTTTGGCTTGCTCTAAGGCAGAATTTAAATCTTCACCTCGTTTTTTGGCTTCAATAATAATTAGGGGGTTTTGCCAGTTTTGGGGTCTTAATTCATAATCAGCGTAGCCCGGGCGAGCATATTGCTCAGCAAAAACATTTTTCTTGGAACCTTGTAACTTTCAACCCTTATTTTCGAGGGCTTTATTGATTTCTAAACGAATATCAGCTTCGGTTAACATAACTTAATTTTTAAATCTTTTCCAAATAGGAAAAAAAGAGCAGTATTTAAAATTTTTAAAGATATTCATTTTATTTATTACTTCTTCCAAGATTATTTTGCGAATATATTAGTTACTAAATTCTTTAAAATTTAATATAAGCTAATTTTATGATAATCTTGGCTCTGGAAACTAGTTGCGATGAAACCAGCATCGCAATTTTAGAAAATAAAAAAGTTCTTAGCAATATTACTATTTCTCAAATATTAGAACAACAAAAATATGGTGGGGTAATGCCGAGTTTGGCGGCTAAATTACATATCAAAAATATTCAAAAAGTTCTCTCTAATGCCTTATCCAAAGCCAAAATTTCCCCTGACAAAATTGATTACATTGCTTATACCGAAAAGCCCGGACTGATTATTTGTCTCCAAATTGGCAAAATAGTCGCTGAAACTCTCTCTTTATACCTAAATAAACCCCTCATTCCCGTCAATCATTTAGAAGGACATATCTATGCTAGTTTAATAAATAAGGAAGAAGAATGAAAATTACCAGTTTTGGCTTTAATTATCAGTGGCGGTCATACCCAAATTTACCAACTAGATAATTATTTTGAATTTACTCTACGAGGAGAAACTTTGGATGATGCGATTGGCGAATGCTTGGACAAATCGGCTATTTTATTGGGATATAATTATCCGGGGGGGTCAATTATCGAAAAACTGGCCTTGAAAGGAAATAATACTTATAAATTACCTTTTCCAAAAAATGATGAAAGTTTAGATTTTAGTTTTAGTGGTTTAAAAAGTGAAATTAGTCGGCTAGTTAGTAAGGAAAAAGAAAACATAAATGCTAATAATTTGGCTCGTTCTTTACAAGGTATTTTGGCCGAAATATTAACCAAAAAATTAAAAAAAGCCTGATTAATTAGTAAAGCCAAGTCAATTGTTATCGGTGGTGGAGTAATTGCTAACAAATATTTACGAAATTATTTAACCAAAGAAATAAAAAAATGAGATAAAGAAGTAAAAATATTTATCCCAGAAATCAAATATTCAACTGATAATGCCGCTATGATAGGGATTTTGGCTTATTATAAAATAAAATTAAGTTAAACCATGCAAAAAAAAAAAAAAAAAAAAAAACAAGAATTTTAATTGTCGTAGCAATTATTATTGGAATTGTGGTGGGAGCCTTTGTGTTAGGGAGAGCAACCGTCCAAAATAACTCGTCCGAACCAAAAAATCCATCCAATTTTCCTCCCAATCAGGAAAATCCTCCCCAGCCACCTAACAACCCACCCCACAAGCCCAGTTCTCCCACCGACCCGAATCAATTACAATTTAAGATTACTTATCATGTTGTATTAGGACAAAATCATATGTACTACACTAGTGGCGGTGATGTCAAAGTTATTTTAATTGACAAAGAAAACCCAATCTTTCTTAATAAGGAACTAACAAAAAGAGGAAATCATTACACCATTACTTTTTTTGCCAAAGACGCGGGGAAATATGAAAGTCAATTTTATGATTATTATTTTGACAAGAACAATAATAATTTCACTTTAAAGCCATATCAAAAGCAGGAAACTGAAATAAAAGTTAGGTTTGTTGGTAAGACACCCAGTCATTATACTTTTAATAACAGTTTTTTTAAAGGTGTACCGAAAGATTTGAAACTTTTTTACATTAGTCAGAACCACCCGCAGATAAAACAATTATTAAACCAAGGAAAATTACAAGAAGATAAGCATTTTATTATTCGTTTTGGAATAGTTGATGAAATTGTTTTGGAAGATTTAATGTATTTTTTTAATAAGTTTAACCGAGAATTAGAAATCGCAGAAGCCTAAAAATTATTAATTATAAGGATAGATAACCGAGTTAATAATTATAAAATTAAATAAAACTTAATTATTAGGACTTATGGCAAAAAAAAAATTAGCACCTATCCATCCCGGAGAAATATTACGGGAAGAATTATTAATCCCTTTAAATATTAGTCCCCAAGAATTAGCCCAAGGAATCAAAGTTCCTAAAGAGCAAGTTAAATGAGTTTGTGAAGAAAGAGGAGATATTACCCCTGACCTGGCTGCCCGTTTAGCCCTTTTTTTTGGTTCTACTCCTCAATTCTGAATGAATATGCAAAAGTCTTATGAAGAAAAAATTTTAACTGATAAATTAGAGCAATTAAAAACGCAAATCCACCCTTATAAAAATGGAGCAAAAAGAGTTGAAAAGATTTAAAAATAGGGAATTAGAGGAATTGGCTAATGAATTAGAATTACCCCCTAAATCTCCTTATAAAAATATTCAGAAACTACTCCGAAGGAAGTTAAAAATTTTATTAGATGCCGAGAAGTGGCAAGACTTACAAATCTTTCCTAACAGCAACCCTGAGAAATTAAGAAAAAGTAAAATAAAAAATCTGTGTAGCCTGAGGGTTAGTAAACAATACCGACTTATTTTTCTTTGAGAGAATAACCAAGCCTGAGAAATAGATATTAATAAACATGATAAGAATTATGGGAAATAAATATTTGGAGTTTCCTCACTGCTTTTGGCAGACATATTTTTAAGATTTTTTTCTTTTTGTGTCATATGAGTTTAAATTTCATATAGACTAAAAATTAATTATAAAAAGAAACCAATTCGTTATTAGGAGTGATACTCAAGTGGTTAAGAGGGTTTCCTGCTAAGAAACTAGGTTGGCCTAATAGTCAGCGCGAGAGTTCGAATCTCTCTCACTCCGCCATTTAATAAACATAAAATCCTATAACATTAAGTAGACTAATCTAATTATCTCCAAAAATAATTTATTAATTCTCCTTTCTATGGTTTTTCCTTCTGGTTTATTGCATTAAAAATACTTTTTTTAGATTTTTGCTGGGAAAATATTAAACATTTAGAACTTGTAAACTGGTAAAATTATAATAATATACTTTTTTTGCCACGAGAAAAATTTAATAATCATGGAAAAGAGAAAAAGTATTAAGAAATTTAAAAATATGAGTATAATTGACTTTTTAGAATTGTTCTTTGTTATTAGTACCGGAATTGCTATGCCCTTTATAGTAATCGGCAGTTATTTCAACCTTGTCTCAAAAACCGAACGAAGCAAACCACTAACTATTTTTTTTTTAGTCATTAGTATTATTTATGCTTTGACTTACTCCTATTTTACTTGAAAAAGTGTAAAGAGTTCTCCCAGTTGAAGAAGGATTAAAAAAGGTGAAAATACCGAAGCCGAAGAAAAAAACGGGAACGAAAAATAACTAATGCATAGTAAAAACTATCTAAATCCTTTTATCCCAAAGAAATTTTGGGAAAAATTGATTAACTCCTTGAGAAAAAAAGATAAAATTAATAAATATGAACGATACAAATTGATTACATCGAATTTTAGAAAAAATGTGGTGGTTCATCCGAGCCTTTATTCATCCTTTCATAACTGCTTTATTCGCTATCTATAATTATCATTATTTAGTGGATGGAATTAAAGCAACTTGGTTGAAATATTTAATACTGATTATTAGTGTTGCTTACATGATAATGACTCTTTGTATTGCCATTTATAAAGTAACAGGCAATATCAATAATCCTCCACCTCCTCCACCAAAAACCTGATAAAAATTAAAGATTATACTTTTCTCAAAGTTTTTTTTTATCACAATCTGGCTTTATTAAACTTTTAATTGGCTCGTAAGTTTTACGGTGTAAATCACAAATTCCATACCGAAAAAGTGCTGTCAAATGGGTTTTGTTAGGATAGCCCTTATTGCCAAATCAATCGTAAAGAGGGTATTTTTTATGTAATTTCTGCATCAAAGTATCCCGTGTTACTTTGGCAAGAATCGAAGCCGCGGCAATATTAATGGACTGACGGTCGCCCCCAATAATACTTATGGTTTTAATTCCTTCTACCATTATTTCTTCTTTGCCATCAATTAAACTCAAATCAGGCTTATTTTTTAAATTTAAAATGGCTTCAATCATGGCTTCTTTGGTCGCCCCCAACGGATTTTTGTCTTCAACCTCCCGGGCACTTTTGGTAATTATATTGTATTCCAGTGCCTCTTTTTTAACTATTCGATAGGCTCTTTTCCTTTGGCTGGGACTAAGTATTTTTGAGTCTTGGATTAAGGGATTTTGAAAATTAGTTGGTAAAATGACGGTCGCCACTATTATCGGTCCGGCTAGCGCTCCCCGACCAGCCTCATCAACACCTGCAATGAGCGGATATTCTTTCCAAAATTTTAATTCTAAATCTAAGTTTTTCTTCATCAAAGTTTATCAAATTTTATCACTTATCTTTCCGTGCTAATCAGTAGATTTATTTAATCCTAATTTTTTGATTACTTTCTCCGCCGCCTCTTGTTCGGCTTCTTTTTTACTTTTTCCGGTTCCTTTTTCACAGAAAGTTCTTAATCTATCACGGGCTTCCATAATGAATAATTGTTGATGGTCAATTTTTTTTATTCCCTTTAACTGATAACTAACTTCATTTTTCTGGGCTTGACAATATTCTTGCAATTGACTTTTATAATCTCAGGTTATATTTTCTTTACCCTTAATCCAAGCAAAAAGCGTTAATTCTAGAAAGCGGTAAACAAATTTTCCTCCTTTTTCTAGATACAAAGCCGCCACAAAAGACTCAAATATGTCAGCTAAAATACTGTTCTTTTCCATTCCGTGATTTTTTCTTTCTCCGATTCCTAATTGGAGAAATTCATTTAAACCAATTTCTTTACTTAAATGAGCTAGTGTGCTTTCTTGAACCATTAATTGCTTCAATTTACTTAGTTGCCCTTCAGTAAAATGAGGAAAAGAAAGGAAAATATATTGGCTAGTATAAAAATTTAACACACTATCACCAAAAAATTCTAAATTTTCATAAGAAGCCGACGCTGGTAAATTTTTTTCATGACAAAAAGAACTATGGATAAAAGCTTGGCAAAAATGTTTAGTTTCTTTAATACTGGTAATTATTTGCCTGATTTTAGTTTGGGATGGCAAAGCCTTAGGCTTTTTTTTAGTTTTAGTTGGCAGCATAAACTTTTCCGATTTGTTTTAAATAAGGGGAATATAAGTAATAATTTCATTTGCTTAAATGACAATTTATGACGTGAATAACTTCTTCTTTATCCCCTTTTTTCTGGTAAACAGTATAGTAAACCGGGGAGAATTTTTCTAGCAATTTCAAACCTTTATTGCGATTTTCTTCCGTTTCTGAGTGAACTCGGAGCAACATAATTTGGTCGCGGGGAAATATTTGACTAATTAGGTAAGAAGAAAGGAAAATATAAGCCAAAGTAGCTCATAATCGTTCGTTATTAGAAATATAACCTAAATATCTTCCCACTGGATTTCTTTCCAGTTCTTTTTTGAACTTGTCTTTTCGGGCTTGCAAATTATTTTTTCTTTGTAATTCTTCTTCTAAATCTGTTCCCGCTAAATTATTATTTCTTAATTCTTCCTCAATTTCGTTTATTTCCTCTTGTAATTTAGTTAGTTTTTCTTCTTTGTCGGCTAAATAATGGTCTACTTCGCACGGGTGATTTTCTAATTGTGAATCCCCAGTTTTATTTTTCAGGAGAGGAGTAAGCAGGGAATTCGGGGAGGATTTTTTTAGGTCAAAACTTTCTTTAATTTTTCCTTCTCTTTTTAGTCTTTTAGCCTCTTTCATGTCATTTTTTCAATCAGCAATAATATCATTAATTTTCCCGTCTTTTATTTTTCTTATCATGGCTTGTTTTTTTAGGTCTTTTTCTTCTTTTTCGCTATTTTTTTCTAACACTTCCAACATTTCATTTTGTAGAGAACTTTTTTTCATTTGCGGTTTCTCCTCTATTCAGAGAAAATTAATCGTAGTAACTAGAAAAATAACAATAAATCCAAAAACCTTAGTAAAAGAACTAATGGAAATTTTCCTTTTTTTTTGGGAAGAAAAATGAGAAGTAATGATTTCTAAACCACCGGGTGTCGCCTGAGTTCGAAAGATTAAACTATAACCATAAGTGTGAATAATGGCCGCCACAATGGCAATAACTATATAATAAGGTAAAGTAAAAGATAACTGACTTTGGCTGCTTAAACCTTGTCAACTACTCGGATTAAAACGATTAAATACGTACTCTCTTAAATTAAAAATTTTAAATATTTGCGTTCAAACAACTTGCGATAAAACATAAAAAATAGAAGTGCTAATTATTCCCAGTTTCGCTTTAAAAAAAACTCGTAAAAGGAAAATAAAAAATAGGTTAGTTAATAATCCTAAGCCATAATAAAGCAGATAATAACTGGCTTGTCCCACTTTGCCATGACCAACTAATAATTTAGAAACTGCCTGCAATAGTCCGTTTAGCCCGCTATTATAAAGTCCGTTAGGGTCGATTAAGAAGTAAAAAGTTAACGTAGTAAAAAAAGCACCAATAAAAACAATAGCTAATTTGCTTAGATAACTCAGAGTTTTTTGCTTCCCAGTCGGTTTTTTTAATGGTTTTTCCAGATAAAGCGAGCGAATAAACTCGTTATATTGTTGTCAAACATTGTAACTCGAAGTTTCATTTTCGTTAACTTTGTTAACTATTTTTTTTTTGCTCTTCATCATGTTTTATTGCTAATTTAGTAAGGGTGTATGGGGAGAAATTTGATTAATAAAAATAAAGTAAATATCTTCCTTTTGTAAAGAATTTTTTCGTAAAAGTTCTTCGGCTAATAAATCTAATATTCGTTTTTTTTGCCGAAGAATATTTTTAACTTTTTTTCAACAGTTTTCCAGAATCTTTTCTCGCTCATTCTCAATTTTTTGCTTAGTAGTCTCGGGTAGTTCGGAAGGGACTTCCTCACCCGAAAAAAAAGACTCCTGAGTCGGAATAATTCCTAAATCTGACATCCCATAAATTAAAATTAAATCCCGAATAATCGTGGAGGCTTGTTTGAAATCACTATAAGCCCCCATAGTGATATAATCCAGTCCAAAAACTAATTCTTCACTGGCCCGACCGCCTAAAAAAGACATGACATGAGCTAGCATTTGACTTTTGTTCAGCAAGTAATCGTCTCCTTGTTCGTTCCGCAAAGTAACTCAAGTATAACCGCCTGCCGACCATCGGGGAATAATAGTAATTTTTTTCACCGTAGTTTCCGGCAAACTCATTCCGATAACGGCATGACCAGCCTCGTGATAGGCAATTATCTTTCTTTTGGCCGGGGTTAGAGTTTGACTAACCAAAGAAGGACCCATTAGTACGCGGTCAAAAGCCTCAAAAAATATTTCTTGGTCGATGGTTTTTTTATTATAGCGGATACTTAAAATGGACGCTTCATTAAACATATTAGTTATTTGGGCACCACTAAATCCCCTGGTCATCGAAGCAATTTCCTCCAAGTCAAGACTAGGAGAGAGGGAGAGTTTACTAGCACATAAGCCAATAATTTCGCGGCGACCTTTCAAATTAGGGGGCGGAATGTAAATATGACGGTCAAACCTTCCAGGGCGTAATAGAGCACTATCAAGCACATTGAGCGAGTTAGTGGCGGCCAGGATAATAATATTATCGCGGGGTCGAAAACCATCTAATTCATTTAACAGTTGGTTCAAAGTTAAATCATTGCTCTGGTGGGAATGACGTTTTTTGCCAATGGAGTCAATTTCATCAATGAAAATGATACAGCCTTGGGGATAACTACGGGCTTTGCGGAAAAGTTCTCGCACTCGTCGTGCCCCTAAACCGACCACCATTTCTTCAAATTCCGAACCGGAACGGAACAGAAAAGGTAATTTACACTCGCCTGCCAACGCTTTGGCTAATAAAGTTTTGCCGTTCCCTGGCGGACCGACTAATAATACCCCTTTGGGGACTTTAGCACCCCGTTGCCAAAAGACTTGCGGATTACGAAAGTAAGATACCACTTCCCCCAATTCCTCCTTGGCTTCTTGTAAACCGCCTACTTCCCGAAAACTAATGTTGGGAATACTTGCTTCCGTAGCCCGTCGATTAAAGAGAAAACCAAAAATATTGACACCAAAAATCGTATAAAGAAAAAACCACAGCATAGCCAGAAAGCCCAAAATAGTTGCTAGGTTACTAAGAAGATTCATAAAACTTCAACTCCCATCCGAACCAAATAAATCACTATGTTTATTGCTTACTCATTCAGTTTTAGTTATTTTTTTGGTAACGCCTGGGGCACCATCAAATTCGAGGTCTTTATTGAGGATTTTTTCGTCATCTATATTACTGGATGTCTGGTAATTTATCGGCCTTTTTACTATCTTTTGAAAAAAGTTTAATTTCTTGCCTGACAAGAGATATTGCTTTGTTTTACCGGTTTCACGAACTCATTTAATTCCCGCCTCTCAGTCTATTTTATTTTCGACATCTTCTTTATTTAGGTTGTAAATTATTATTTTTCCATTGTCCTCTTTTATAATAAAATTCTTTTTTTCGGGTGAGGAAAATTTTTGTATGAGCCAAATTCCGCTAAAAACTATTACTAATAACAGCACAAACGGCATTATTTTTTTCCATCAACCTTTGAAAGAAACTTTTTTTTCATTAATTCTTAACTGCTCTTTTTTGCTCATTTATTGCTTATATTAATAAGTTTTAGGACAAATAATCGCATATTTAGGATATTTAATTATTTGAAATTCTTTTCCTAACTCAATGACTAGATTTTTTTTCCTACTAAAAAATAATTGCTGATAAATTTCACCTAAAAGGTTTTTTTTTCTTTTTTGTAGTATTCCGCTAGTGTTTTGGTTAACTCAAAAATAAAGCAAACGCAAATATATTTCGGGGGGTTGGACTTTTTCCAGGGGAAGCTGCAAAATATGCGATGAAATGATAAGCCTTTGCCTTTCGGATTTAACTAATAATTTAGTTTTTTTTAATTCCTGATTTTTTCTTTTAATTACTTGCACTAAATTTTTTTTCTCTTCCGGACTGAAACTAGCTAATTTTTTCCGAATAATATTTCGTTGGTAAAGCGGCAATTGGTTAGTAATATCGTGGGCATAATTTATTTTTTCCTGGTCTAAATATTGGAGTATCTGTTGCTTATTAAGAGATAAAAAGGGTCGTAATATTCAATATTTTCCTTGCTTGGTGCGACTAGGTAATCCCCAGTATTCAAGTAACGATTTTCTTTGGGCTTGTAGTAAATAAGTTTCTAAATGGTCGTCTAGGTGATGTGCCACTACAATATATTTGGTTTGATACTTATCGGCTATTTTTTGGAAATAGTTATAGCGAATTCGGCGGGCTTTATCCTGAAAATTACTGACGTAGTTATATTCCGAATTTGGTACCTGATAAACTTCTAACGGTAAAGAAAATTTTTGGCAGTATTGTTTAACCAATTCTTCGTCAAAATCACTATCGACCCTTCTTTTATAGTTAACATGAGCGACAATAATTTTATAATTTTCTTGTCGCAACTTGTCTAATAAAAACATGCTATCAGGACCACCCGAAATACCTGCTATCCATAATTTATCCTTAGCGAGCATAATATTTTGTTTTATTTTACTACTCAACTTTATTTATAACTTTAAAATTTTTACTTATTTTTTCTTTAATTGTTTCCTAAATATTTATATACGTAAACAGTAAGAGCACCAACCGCCACAGAAAAAAGCGAGAATTTGAATAGTTAATCGGAGAGTTTTTGACTCGCTTAATACTTTTATGATTAGGTATAATAAAACGAGCAGTGCCAAAATATAAGCACAGATTGATATAATTTCTTTATATTGTTTTATAGTACAATTTTGGTTTAAATGCCATATGAGGCAAAAATTACTATTATCATGCCCCGACCGAAGTTATTAATTTCTTTATTTAAGAAGTTTAAATGAACGTTTTTCGGACTGGGTTTGCTTAGTTTTCTAATTAGTTATTTATCGTTTGTTATTCGCTTTAATTTGCGAACCAATTTATCTCACTTTGCCCGCGGGAATTTTCACTTACCTTTTTTTACTAAATTTTCGTTAATTAGCCAAGTAGTTGCCGGCCAAAAATATATTGATTGAACTAAATTATTACTAATTCTCTTTTTACTTTATTTTCCTCTAAAAATAATCCTTCAATTTTTATTTAACTATTTACAAAAGTATTCCGAAAGAATAATTAATGTTTATTTAACTAAAAAAATGTTAAACTTTGCTTATAAAAATAGAAGTATGTCAGTTGCCGAGAGGCAAGAAAAAGGACATATTCTTGCTAATAACGTTCCTAGTTTTGCCCAGCAGTTTTTTTCTCTGCCGCTCAATTTTTTCAGTCTTTTTCTGGATATTTGCTTAGAAGTTTTTAGTTTGCTCTTTCTGATAAAAACCCGACCGGTGGAAGAAATAATCCCACTCGTTATTATTTTCTTGCTAGTTAATCTAATTAGTTGGTGGGTTTTTCGGCTGGTATTAGGGAAAATCGCTCAAAGAAAGGTTAAAAAAAGATTGGCAATAGAAAGCCAAGAAAAAAAGCAAATAAAAATTTTTTATGAAAATTTAGCATTTACTAAGACCAATAAAATGAGTTTAGGAAAAATTTCTCAATTGTTGGATAGCAATTCTCAGCAAATATTTACCGACCTTTTTCTTTCGTTACTGAACGAATTGCCTAATTTAATAATTCCGGGACTTAGTATTTTCTTTCTCTTTATTTATCATAACTTTTTCAATCCGAAAGGTTATCTAGGTTGGGATGAATATTTAATTGCTAATAATTGCCAAAGTATTATCAGTAAAGCCGATAAAATGTTTAGGTTAACTTTTTCTTGACCTGCTTATTGGGTCAATTATCGCCAAATTGCAAGTTGTTTAGATAGGTAAAACGCTTGCTAATAATAGTAAAATTAGGAATAAAAACTTAAATCTAAATCAAAAAAATTATGACTGATAAAAAAATATATTCATAATGGCTCGACCTTGAAAAGACATTAAATTTAAAAGAATTGAATTGACTGATAATCAACTAAAAGAATTAGAACCAATAATCGGATATAAGACCATGTATTATCACTACCAAGTTCTCCATAAAAATTACGAAGTTAAATTAGATGAGACAATAAGGGGAACCGAAATAGAGAAAAATTTTCCTGCGTTAGAGGAATTAATGGGAAGTTTAGACAAACTACCGGACGAGTTAAAAGAGGATGTTCGTTTTTTTGGTGGCGGATTAATTAATCATAATTTTTTCTTTAGACATCTTACTAAAATGAAAATGAGCAAAAAATCCGAAGAAAACATTGATTCAAATTTATTAGAAACTATTGAAAAAGAGTTCACTAACTTAGAAAACTTGAAAAAAGAATTAACCAAAAGTGCCTTGAAAGTTCGGGGCAGCGGTTGAACTTGGCTGGTATTAAATAAAAAGAACGGGTTAGAAATTATTAATACAGAAAAACAAGATGGACCCTGGTCTTTACATCTCTGTCCGCTGATTGCGATTGATGTGTGAGAACACGCTTACTATCTGGATTATGGGGCTAATCGTTGCGGATACGTGGAAAGTTTGCTGAAAAACTTGCTGAACTGAGATTATATCAGTAAACTTTACTTTCAATACACTTTATAAATTTTTGGTTTTTCCTTCTTTTCGGAGCGAGAATTTCACCATATCCTTATAACATTAATTAAGAAATCAATGAGACCACCGAAAAGGAAAAATAAATAACCGCCTCACATTTTACCGGGTTTGAAAATAGACCACGAACAAATCCAGGGCAAACTAAACATCAATAAAGAAAAAATCACCGTAAATATCGCACTTTTTTTTAAATATTCTTTGACTTCCTGAGTATTGGGGAAATGATTATATTGTAAAAATTTTCAACTAATACTGGATAGCAAAGAGACCAAGAGGTAAGGAATAACCCAGTAGAAGGATATTTCTTGCCGATAAATGACATTGTTTTTATCAAAAGTAAACGGATGAAGAAAAATAAGTATACTAAATAAAAATCACATTAGTCCGTTAAAGACTCAATATTTAATTAAATGAGCCGTTTCCCGACTAATTTCTTCTTTTTCTTCCACGCTTAAAGAAGAATTTTGTAATTTCTCCATTGTTTCTTGGTATCCTTGCTTGGTGGAATAACGAATTCAGAGTAAAAATAGTTTAATTATTATTAATTTAAAAATTACTTCAATTATTAGTTTAAAAAGTGTTTCCCCTAGTAAACTGGAAAGGGATAATAATTTTCAAATTTGATGAAGCGGGGTCAAAAAAAAGAATTTTACTGGGTCATTTCACAGTCTTTCTCCTCATTTTCTATTGTCTAATTCAGTCGCATCTAATTGGTTATTTTTTAATTGTTCCTGAATATTTTTGATAGTATTGGCTTTGGCGTTTTTTAACTTAGTTTGATAAACTTTTTCTTTTTCTTCTAACGCTTCTTTTTCCGCTGGGCTGGGATTATCTTTTTTCTTTAATTCTTCTTGCTCTTTTTTTAACTTTTCTAATTCCGGAAGTTCCTCCTTTTCTCACTGACGCGGAAGTTTTTTATTGCCTAACTTCTTTTTTTCTTCAATTTGGCTTAATATATCATCTTCAATTTCACTAATAGACTTGGGTTGGTCCTTATTTTTTGTATAATTTTCAGTTTTGTCTTGGTGGTCTTTTATTTCTTTATCTTCAATAGCCTCATGATAGTTAATACTCGAAGCATAAGAGCCAAACGGAAGTATGTGACGGACAAAAATCACTACACAGAGTATTCGTAAAGCATTTTTAATGATTCCGATTACTCTTTTACTTTTTTCTCGCGTCATATATTATTAAATTTTTTCTGATAAGCAAAAAACAGCAATTTGTATAAACTTTTTTGATTGGTAACAAAGTCATTTTCTAAATAAGGAGGGCGGATAATAATAACCAGTTGATAATGAGAATGCTCGTCATCTATTTGACAACTATCATTATGATTTTTCAAATGAAATATTAATATATTACGAATTTGCCGCTTATAAAGATTTCTTTCAACGGCTTTCTTGACTAAACTTTTGGGGATGCTGATACCAAACTGACAATTATTTAATTCGGCAGAATTAACTTCGGCCAAATAAATAACAAAATTACGATTAACTACTTTTTGACCTTTTTCAATTAGTTGCTGAAATTGCCAATTTTTTCGTAAACGATAAGGTTTTCATAACATTTGGTTATTATTTAATTTTAGAGATAAAAAGGCTTCTATTTTTTTTATTGATAACAAAAAGATGGGCGAGAATTTGATTAATGTAAGCACTATTCTCTAAGTAATTACTTTTTATCGATAATTACAGTGTCTTTTTTTCCTATTTCTTAAAAATTAGTATTATAAAAATGGCTAATTCTCAAACTAAAAATTTTTCTTTATCTGCTTGATTATTAAAAAAACTTCGTAACGAACTAATTATTTGATACTTTTTTACTTTTCTGGCGGCTTTTTTTTACTATCAGGCCATTTTTGGATTAAGGATGTGAGGTCATAAAGGAGGACCTTACTCTTTATTTTTTGGTGCTTTTACTATTAGTTTGCGGTCTAATTTACTTTGATATGTTTTTTGTTGTTTTTTTCTGGGTCATCTTTTAACTAATTTGATTTGCGATTATTGAAAAAATTATACCGTGGAATTGTGCCGCACCCATTTACGAAAATTGCTACTTAATTGTAGTACTAAAAATCCGTCCCGAAGTCAATTATATAATAAAGAAATTTTGAATAACTTTTCCGGAGAAATTGAGTTGTTTGTCCCGCTTTTTATTTTGGTTCCGCAACGAATTTTTACTGCCCTGGTCAATATTATTCTCAATTTTATTTTTTTAACCAACTTTCAAGGCAATAATTTTGCTATTTTTTTTGTCCTGATTGTTTCTGCGATTTTGGCTTTATTGTGTTCTGCAGCCTATCAAATTCAAAAAAAAATTAACCAAAAACAAAACGACTTTCGCCGTCAGGAAAATTTGCTTATGGAAAAACATTTAGAAAATCAAACCGAGCCCCAAAAGGTCGAAAAACTAATCAATTCCAATTTTCAAAAAACCCGTTCTTCTTTAAAAAAAAAAACCCTTTCTTATTTACCTACTTTTGTTATTTCCGGACTCAATATTATTTTTTGCCTTGTTTATAGTAAAGGCTGAGAAATAGGAAATTTTGTGGAGATTTTTTCAATTTCCTTGTCTATTCAAACTATATTTTGAAAAGTTAAAGACATTGCTGATAACGTGCCGGAAATTGGCAGAATTAAAATACATTATCAACCCTTAAAAAAACTGGTGAAAAAGTTAGAAAATAACAAATAATTACTGCTAATTAAACGGCTAGGCCAAGTTAACCAAGAAATTTGGGAAAGGACATTAACTTCTTTATGAGGGAGAATCACAAGCAAAAAATATAAACCTCATGAATAATTAATTAGTAAATTAGAAAAAGCCAGTAAGTCCAATAAAAACATGAATAAAATCTTAACCATTGACCCTTCCGGCACCGGAACTAGTGGAATATGCCTAATTAGTGATAAAAGAATAGAATTCAGTCAATTTAAAAACGATAATTGACAAGAACATTTAAAGTTTTTTATTAATTTAGTTAAAGCCTGAAAACCTAATATTATCATTTATGAAACCACCACCTATATTTATGGTCGCCAACACCAAGGAACGGTCGGCTTATACAAATTAATCGGGGGGTTGGTTGGTCTGCAATACACTTTTGATTTTATCCAACAAATAGACAGCATCACTGTTAACACGGTCAAGCCGTTTAAAGATAAATTATTTAGCGGTCAGGAACAACTGGAAGGATTAAGTTGCCTAGCGGGACGCGGTAAGGGCTGAAAATATAACGGCACCCGCCTTAATTTACACCAACTCGACGCCTTAATAATTTACCATTTATGAAGTGGTGGCAGTTTAGAAAGTAAACCCAGTATCCGCCAGAAAATCCAAGTATTACAAGCCAAAAAGCGATTAGGAGCGTGCCAAAAGGAACGATTGGAGCAATTGGAAAAATTTTTAGCAGCCAGAAATAAAACGAAGAAAAATTAATTAGGAAAATATTAAACCTTCTTTTTCACGACCAGCGTTCACAATAGAAAATAGAACAATAGACATTATTTTTTTGTTTTCCTTTTTTAACTTAATAATCCTTAAACTATTTAAAACTATCCCCATGTTTTAAAAATCATATAAAATAAATCATATAAAATAAAATTATGGATACTATTCAAGAAATAAATAAAGAATATTTTCGCACTGACCTTCCCCAGTTAGAAGTAGGAGATAAAGTAGAAATTATTACTAAAAACTTTAAAAAAAGCGAGAAAGATAAATACCGATTAACTCATTTTAAAGGGACGGTAATTGCCCAAAAAAATAAGCAACGAATTAGTTATAATTTTTCGGTATTGAAAGAAAGTAAAGGTAGCGACAAAGTAGCGATTAGAGGCATTTTTTCCTATCATTCTCCGCTAATAATGAGTATCAAAAAGTTAGGAAAGATTAATCAAAAAATTCGCCGAGCCAAATTATATTACCTAGAAAGAGAATTAGCCAAAAAGAAAGATAACGAATAAAAAAATATTACTTACTTTTTCTGACCTTTTTTGGTTAATTGGTCTAATTTCTGGTCTTGACGGCGATGATAAAGGAAAATTAAAAAAACCGTTAAACAAAGAACTAGAAGCATTACTAGCAAACTTCAAACAATCTGACGCCGAACTTTCTTGTTTTTGGCTTGAATTTCCGCTTGCTGCTGTTGGAAACAATTAGAACAAAGATAATAAGTGAAATAACTGTGTGGTCGCGAAGAGTAGTGATAATGGCGATAATTAGTTCCTTTCTCCACCCTAATTTCTTTGCCCTCGGCAATTAGATTTGAACATTTTTGGCAATAACGTTTTTCGGTCATTATATAGTATTTTAAATTTAAATATTAGATTAATTCAGAAGTTAGGAAAAAAACAACATAAACGGATTATAAATTTGTATAAAATATAATTAGGAATATAAATAAATATTTAAATAATGAAAAATTATGTCATGCAACCAAACGAAATCAAATCTCACAAAGAAAATAAGCGAGAGGAAGTTAGAAACAATTTGCCAACTTCAAAATGAATTAATTAAATTACAAATAGAATTAGGAATAGAAGAAGCAGCAGCAGAGGAATACGAGGCACACCAAGAAATCCTACCTCGCACAAATGTATAGTAAATAATAATTATATTATGTCAAATTCACAAAACGACGTTGTTAAATTTTTCTGAGAAAATAAAGAAAATGGTTATCTTAGCAACTTTTTTTTTCCACTAAATAATAAAATAATTGCTCGTCTACCAAACCAGTTAGACAGCAAAGGAGAGCCGGTGCTAAGTGCTGGCTTTATAAATATTGATGGAAAAGAAGAATTAGAGTGGTATACTAGCGAGCACCTTTTCCAGGCATTAAAATTCACTGGAACTAATAAAGATATTGACTTAGTTAGGCAAATTTTAAATCAAACGGATACTATGCAAGCACTTAAACTAGGTCAATCAAAATTGGCTAGAAGTGATTGAGTAGAACCTAACAATTATCGATTAATAGCAATGAAATATGCTGTAAGGCAAAAATTTTCTCAAAATGAAACATTGAAAGACAAATTACTTGCTACTGGAAATAAAACGATAATAGAAAATACTAAAAGTGCTAATAATCTTAAATTTCAAAACAATTTTTGAGGCAATGGTCCTGACGAAAGAGGAGCAAACCATTTGGGCGAAATATTAATGGAAGTAAGAGACGAATTAGCAGCACAAAATCAGCCTTTGAATCCTGTTAATCCTCAACCCGTCTCTCCTCCTACACCGAACCAACCCACGCCAGGAGAAAATAATAATCCCCCACCTAACTCACCATCCCCAAATTCTAACGGCCCCAGCAATAATGAGCCAACTGACAATTCCAATAACAACCCTGATTCTACTCGGCCTAATGACAAGCAAGAAAATAACGATAACTCCAATAACCCTAATATTGAATTACCTGCTCTCGATACCGGAAAAATAACTAACGCTGAAAATATTGAAACCGCCCAACTTAACGCTAAACAACAAATCCAAGAATTATTCAATAAAAGTAAGGTTAAACCGAGCGATTTAGATAAATCATTATGAGATAATAAAGAAAATTGAGAAACTTATTTACAAGGACTAACAACTAGCCAAGCAATAGTTGAATTTTCCCAACTACTGGAACAAAAAATTAAAGAAAAACAACAATCGCTTAAAAACAAAAACAATATTAACTCACCCGCTAAACCTAATTCAGCAAATAAAGTATTAATTTTTTCCTTGGGTGGCGGTGCTATATTGCTAGTATTTATTGGCCTATTTGTTATTAGAACTAGATATAAAAGAAGAAAAAGATAATTTAATCTGCTGGAAAAGTGCTTTTCTCCTTATAAAATTTAACTATATCGGGAGAAGGGTCCATAGCTCATTTTGGTAGAGCATCTGTTTTGCACACAGAAGGTGGTCGGTTCGAAACCGACTGGATCCACCAAGTATTTATTGCAAAAAAAATTGCTAAATAACCATGGCTTATCAAAAAAAAAAAAAAAAAAAAAACTATTTCTAATAATTAGTAGCCTAATTATAGTTAGTTTATTAGTTGGTGGAGCCTTTGTAATTGGGAAAAATACCAAAAGTTCCCCTCCGGATAAACCAGTTAAAGAAGAAAAAGATAATCGGAAACCAAATCAACCTCATAATCCTTCTGATAATGATAATCCACCCGAACTTCCTGATAATCCACCGTTACCTCCGACGCCGAATGATAATGAGACGAATTTCTCGGTTCTTGCACCAACTAAAAATGAACTAGAATACAAAACCAATCCACCTTTACCCATTTCTTCGGTCGGAACTGATTATAGCCAACTCGGTGAGACTAACAAGAACAGTTTATTACCTGGTTCGGCTTTACTGACCGACACTTTGGATGGCTCGGGCGGTGGTTCCTCAATACTTAATAGCAAAGGAATTACGCATATTATTCACGCGGCTCCTTGACCCCGCGACCTTTTTAAAAGCGACGAGGATTTTATTGATTGTGCTGTTAAATCCGTGCAAAACTCGATTATTTTAGCCGACCGATACAAATTTGAAAAACTGGCTATTCCTTTGGTCGGTGGTGGCATTTATTTAGGAAGTTGCGACCCTCAGAAATTGGCAGAAGGAATAATGATTGGCAAAATGTCAAAACTTATGACACATTATTTTCGTTGATTGATATGGTGATGGAATTAGACCCCGCGACCAACACAAGTTTTTAAATGCGTTTGGCAAACTTGAAGAGAGTGGTAAATGATTTAGTAAACATTCTCGTTTTGGCTGTGAAATTGCCAAAAATACGGCAAAATTTGTGAATATCGAGTCTGGGGATATTTGCAATAAAGACATCCATGAAGCCCATGTAATTGTCAACGCGGCTAATACCCAAGCCAAATTTGGCGGTGGGCTTTCAGGCAAAATTGCCGAAGAAGTTGGAGATAAAACTAAAATAGAGCAAAAGGCTGAGGAATGAATTAGCAAATTTCACCAACATAAATAAAAAAAAGGAAGTGTGCTTGAGTGGCTTAAGAGGCCAGCTTGGAAAGTTGGTAATATGTTAAATATTCGGAGGTTCGAATCCTCTCACTTCCGCCAAAAAATATTTATTTTTCGTGTTAGTTATTGCTCTTTGATTAGTGAAAAGAAAAAAATTAAAATAATGAAAGAGGAATTATTGAAGGCTTTAATTTTTGACCTATTGTATAGTCGCTATTATGGAGTCATTATTTATGTTCGGATTTTTGCTGGAGAATTAACTAATAAACAAAAAATTAAATTTCATACTAATCAGCAAAAGGTTTATCAGGTGGAAAGGGTGGGAGTAAAAACCCCCAAGGAAATTTTAAAAGATAAATTAATCGCTGGGGAAATCGGTTGATTTACCGCTAATATTCGTGATATGCGGGAAGTAAAAGTGGGTGATACTGTGTTTGACCTAAATAATGATGCTACACCCTTAGCCGGTTACCAAGAAATAAAACCTAATGTTTACTCTAATTTATATCCCAGCGATAGTTCCCAATATAAGGAGTTTAAAAAGTCGTTAGAAGAATTACAAATCCAAGATAGTAGTTTGAGTTTAGAAACCATTGATTCACAATTGCTCGGACCTGGTTTCCGTTGCGGCTTTTTAGGATTATTACACCGAGAAATTATTTGTGAACGACTGCAAAAAGAATTCAATTGTGAAATTATTAATACTCCGCCCAGCATTACCTACCGAATAACCTTTTTTCAAGGCGAAGTTATCGAAACTAATAACCCGCAAAAAATACCTAGCAATGATAAAGTGAAAACTATTGAAGAGTTATTTATTTCACTAAATATTACCACACCCGAACAACATTTAGGAGCCATTTCTCAATTATGTCAAAATAAACGTGGTATTTATCAATCGCAGGAATGAAAAACTGGCTCACTCTATCAATTAAATTATCATTTACCTTTTGCCGAATTTATCCTCGATTTTCATCATAAAATTAAGTCTATTTCTCACGGCTATGCCTCTTTTAATTATCAATTAATCGGATTTTTTTCCAGTAATATTGTCAAAGTAGATATTTTACTGAATAATCAATTAATTCCGGACTTATCCTTTTTGGTTTATCGCGATTTTGCTTATGAACGAGCCAAAGTAATATGTGAAAACTTGAAAGAAACCCTAAATAGGCAGACCTTTACGGTTCCTATTCAGGCTTGTATTGGGAAACAAGTAATTGCTCGGGAAACTTTACCGGCTTTAAAAAAGCATGTTACCGGTAATATGTATGGTGGTGATAGAACTCGCAAAATGAAATTATGAGCCAAGCAAAAAAAAGGCAAAGCCCGGATGAAAGAACTGGGGAAAGTTAGTTTCGGGGCTGGTAATTTGCGCGAACTTTTGAAAGGAAAGAAAAAATAATTCTAAAAAATTATTTACTTTTCTTTATTTAATATAGATTGAAAAACAAAATAATCTAAAAAGCAAACGCTTAAAAATTATTTAATAAAACGTGCGAATATAGTTCAATGGTAGAACATTAGACTGCCAGTCTAATTATGCGGGTTCGATTCCCGTTATTCGCTCCATTGGCGAATATGGCGAAGTGGTTAACGCACCAGTTTGTGGAACTGGCACTCGTGAGTTCAATTCTCACTATTCGCCCCATTATTAAAATTATATCTTTATTTATAAAGAAGCCAAAAATCAAAGTTTAAAAAATGAACTAAAATAATTTTCTGCGTTAGGTATTGTTATAAAATATTAAAATAATAATATTATGGTAATCAACAATAACAAAAAGAAATTTACAGGTAAAACCCTACAAGAATATTTAAATTGGAAATATCCGACAAGGGAGGAGAGGGAACAGGTGGAGAGGATTGATGCTGGCGAAATCAGACGACTAGAAGGAGGCGAATTAGATTTAAGTGAGTATGTGAATGTAGGGAGAATACGTGTTAATGAAGATTATTTAAAATCCCCCCTAACCAAACTAACCTTGGGAGAAAAGCCAAAATTAACTTATCTTGATTGTTCCTATAATCTACTAACTAATTTAGATTTAAGTCAATGTCCTAATTTAACTGAAATTTATTGCTCCGATAATCAACTAACCTCCATCAACTTCTTAAAACAATTACCTCACCCCGAGAAACTAAATGAATTAGAACTTGCCAATAACAATATCGAACCAACTAATTTAGAGTTTTTACGACCTTTTATTAATCTTAAATACAAACTAACTTTGGGAAATGACGAACCAGAAAAATACCGCAACAATATCTACAACCGTTTCTATGGCAGCCTCGAACCGTTAAGGAATATGACTAAATTACCTAGTTTATGTATTGATGGCACTGATATCGATGAGGGATTAGAGTATTTACCGGACACTGTCGGAACTATTAACTGTGACCCCAAACTCCCCAATCAAAAAGTAGTCAAAATACAAGACCAACTCCGACCTTACAACTACGACCTTTCAGCCTGACAACTGGCCCACCCCGAAAAAATGCTAATTGCTAAACCTGAACTATTCACCAATCCCAACAGTAAAGAAAAATGACTAAAAAGCCTAAAAAACAAAATAAAACAAAGCCAAGAAGCCTTAAATTACATTATCCAAAACGAACCTAATAAAGAAGCCAAAATAATCCGCCTAGAAACCCAAATTAAAATCTTGGAGGACACTGAAACCCAATCACAGGAAGAAATTGAGAATGAAAGAGAAATCCACACTGACGCTATGAAAAACATGGATAACTTTTACCAGCACAATCCCCCCCAAGAAAATATTAGACTAAAAAATATTCTCCGGGAATTCGAACAAAATTACTTAAAAATTAATCGCCAAAACCAACAGCAAGACCAAAAAATAAAAGATTTAGAAAAATCTATTGAACTAACTGAAAAAATTATCGAACAAGAACACCAACCCAAAGCCACCCAGGACCAAGGAACGCAAACTGATTTAACTTGACAAAAAATTAATCAGTTAGAGCAACAACAAAGAGAAAACCAAGAACTAAAAGAACAAATTAAAAGGTTAACGATTAAAAAATAAATAATATATGGCAGAAAAGCAAAAATTTGACAGAACGAAACCTCACTTAAACATTGGAACCATTGGTCATGTTGACCATGGCAAAACAACTTTGTCAGCCGCAATTACCTCGATACTTGCTAAGCAAAATAAAGCAAAAAAAAAAAGTTACGAAGACATTGATAAAGCTCCGGAAGAAAAAAAACGGGGAATAACTATTAGTGCTACCCATGTTGAATTTGAAACTGATAAGAGACATTACGCGTTAATCGACTGCCCGGGACATGCTGACTATATTAAAAATATGATTACTGGTGCCGCTCAAATGGATGGAGCAATTTTAGTTCTTTCCGCCCAAGATGGAACCATGGAACAAACTAAGGAGCATTTACTTTTAGCTCAACAGGTCGGAGTTAAGCACTTGGTAGTTTTTATTAATAAAGTAGACGTTATTCAAGATTTAGAACAAATAGAATTAGTGAAGGAGGAAATTAAGGAAGAGTTGAAACTCCGCGGTTATGATAGTGAAAATACTCCTATTATCGGTGGTTCGGCACTTTGTGCGTTGGAAGACAGACAACCAGAATTAGGAGAAAAAGCTATTTTGGAATTATTGGAGGCGATTGACAACCATATTCCTATTCCACCCCGCGACGAAACTAAGCCTTTTTTAATGTATATTGAAGATTCCTTTACTATTAGCGGTCAAGGAACAGTTGCTACTGGTAAAGTTCGTCAAGGAAAATTAAAAGTAGGTGATGAAGTAGAAATAGTTGGCTTCGGAGCAAAAAAAAAAGCAGTAGTAAAAGGTATTGAAATGTTCCATAAACAATTAGACGAAACTAAGCCCGGTGATGATGTTGGCATTAATTTGAGAGGTGTTGAACGTAGTGAAATATTGCGAGGGCAAGTTTTAGCGGCTCCCGGAAGTATTACTCCTCATAAAAAATTTGAGGCTGCTGCCTATATTTTAAGTAAAGATGAAAGAGGTCGTCATACTGAGTTTAAAAGTGGTTATCGTCCCCAATTTTATATTTATACGGCTGATATTACGGGAACTATTGAATTGCCCGAAAATGCACCACATGTCGAACCGGGAAACACTGTTGCTTTTGCCGTAGAGTTGATTAATGATGTGGCTCTGGAAGTGGGCGACACCTTTTCTATTCGGGAAGGAGCACATACTATCGGTAGAGGAACTATTACTAAGATTACTGAGTAACTTTCGAAAAAATTTTAGGAAATGATGGAAAGACGGACAGATATTTATTTAGTAGGGAAAAAAATTCCCCTGGGTAATTTCCATCCTCTTAATCAAATTATCCAAAAAATTTATGATATTTTTTTACGGTTGGGCTATCAAATCGTCGAAAGTCCCGAAGTAGAAACTGAGGAACGTAATTTTAATAAACTAAACATGCCACCCCATCATCCGGCTCGGGATATGCAAGATACTTTTTATCTGAATAATAACTTGCTGCTTCGCACTCATACTTCGAACACACAAGTTAGAGCCATGGAAGATAATCCTAATCAAGAGTTAAAAGTTATTGCGGCCGGCAAAGTTTATCGCCGGGATGAAGACGATGCTACTCACACACACCAATTTACCCAGTTAGAAGGATTTATGATTGGTCGGAATATTTCTTTTTCTCACTTAAAAAGCACCTTGAAATTAGTTTTAAAAGAATTGTTTGGCGAAAATCATCCCATTCGTTTCCGTCCTTCTTATTTTCCTTTTACCGAACCAAGTATGGAAGTGGACGCTCAATGTATTCCCTGCCAAGGCCAAGGCTGTAATATCTGTAAAAAAACTGGTTGAGTAGAAATATTAGGAGCCGGTTTAATTCATCCCCAAGTATTAAAGAATTGTGGCTTTGAGGAACAAAAGTTTACTGGTTTTGCTTTTGGATTGGGAGTAGAACGTTTATTAATGATTAAATATGGCGTCGAAGACATTCGTCATTTTCATTTAAACGATATTAGGTTCTTACGTCAATTTAGAGGATTATAAATTTTCTTTTTCGTTAACGTTAGTTAGAATTTAGCAAGAAAAATGCTTTTGCCAGTATTTTCCCATCCATAAAGTAAAGACGGGAAGTAAAAGCCAAAGTCAAATGTCAGAAGTTAGTCAGAAAACTAGATGAGGACAGTGGAGTTTGTAAAAGTTGTTGCAAAAAGTATGAGTAGTTTAGGGATTTTACAAGTACTGAAATTCCCGTGCTGATTATTGGTTAAGTTATTCAGTAAAAAGTGGGGTAGAAGTAAGGGTAAAAGGGAGAGAAAGCAGGTAAAGTATGTGGGAAATTTTTCGGTTAGTCATTTATAGTTGACAGAGAAGTATTGGTAAGAAAAAGAGAAAGAAAAAAAGACAATAATGTGAGACAAGTAATTTGAAAGTCTAGTTGCTGGGGTTGTTTATAAGCCAAGGAAGACCCCGAAGAAAAATATATTTGTCCGAAACTGAAACAACATTGAAAGGATTGAGAAAAACAAGAAAGGTATTAAGTTATATACCAGTATAAAAAAAGGAGATAATTTTTTTAATAATAACGGGAATTTCAGAACTTTAAGGAATTTCCCCTAACATATCGCAGTCAAAATTAAGTCTGTTGTATTTGAGCCTGAAATTCTACTTCTAACTGAATAATCAATCACTCTTGCAACAAACCTTGTAATTTTGTCGGACAATATGGAGAAAAAGAAGTATACTCAATATTTTTTTCTTGATTTTCTTTCAAAATTCTTTTCACCAACGCTAATTTTTCTTCTCGACTATTGCTTTTGAAGAAAAGCCACTTGATAAGCGAGCAGACTGCTGTGCCACAACCCTTCTGTAAAGTAGTTTTTTATTTTTTCCTGAATTTCTTGTATTTTCTCTTGATTATTTACCATAATAAACTTTTTTTAGGTGGTTACTGGATTCGAGTGGTTAACAGCCAAAACACAGACTTTAAATTAATATTCTTTCCAAAAATTAACAAACCTTCTTAATTATTTGCCTCTTATTAAGGAAATAATCATTTTTAAGATTTTTATTAATAATCAAATAAGGACAATAAGAACAATTATGAAAATTATTAACTTTCATCAATTGATTTTCATATAAATGCCTAAATCGCTAATATTATTAATGCCTCCTTCCGGTCATTCGAAAAATTTTTTTAGTCATTGAAACATATTGCAATTTTAGTGTTGTTGAAGATTATAACATATTATTAAAACCAACCAGGGGAAAGTTAAAAAAGTTCAATCACTTTTAATTATTGGCAATTTATTTCTTTTGCTAACTTTCAATAAAAGGATAACTTTAAAATAATTAATTATAGGAGAAGTGATTGGAATATTTATTATTTCTAGCACTTAAAATTATAAAAGGTTAATTAAAGGAAAAAAATAATAGCATAATGGCAAGTCAAGAAAATGTTGTCAATAAAAATATTCTAGTTGAAAGAATAAAGGACAAAATCTCCGAAGAAAAAAGATTAGTCGGAAAAATCATTAGTCAAGTAAAATTAGTGAGAAAAAAAGCTAAAACTCCCTTAAATATCGACGAAAAGCAATTACGAGTTCATTTAAGCGAAACAATAAAAGTGTGAGAGCAACGGAAAGTTAAGAAAATAATTGATAATTTCTTGGAGGAAATAAAGGTCAGTTTAAAGGAAAAGGAAAAAGTGGTGTTTTGAAACTATTTTAGTTTAGAAGTTCATCGCATGCTAAAAAAAGAAAAATATCGCATAAGGTTTCGTAGTGGCGAGCGACTGAAAAGAGAAATAAATTAATTCCCCAAGAATTTTCTTATATAAAACTATAATATATTAAAAATAACGATAGAAAGTCTAATCTTTCTCTCCTAATAATTGCGAAACTCTTTTTTTATTTTACTATAATAACCCTTATACTTTATTTTTAATTAATCAGATTTAAATCGGGAGTAAACTTTGACTTCTTATAGTCCGAGAAAAACAAATTATTATATTGAACCTAACTTACGCAAAAAATTTATGAAAGAAAAAAACAAGGAAGAATTTGTCATTTTCCAGGAAAAGTTACGAAAATTGGAAAGTGAGTATTCAGCAACCAAAGAAAAGTTAAAGATGTATGGTTTGGATGGCGATTTTTCGGAAAATGCCGATTGGGTATTATTGGAAGAAAAAAAAAACAAATTACAAACCAAAATTGATTTACTAAAAGCCAAAATGACCGAAACGAACCAGGAAGACGAGAAAATTATCACTTATCGTCTGCTAGCCACTGGTGAGGAAAAAACTATCAAAGTAACTAATTGGGAAATTGACCCCTTTCAAGGCCGCATTTCTTTTACTAGTCCGCTAGGCCTAGCCTTAATCAATAAAAAAGTCGGAGAAATTAGCGAAGTGCAGACTAATCAACAAAATTATAAAATTCAAATTTTAGCCAAAGAATAATGACAGTTCATTTTTTACTTTTTCAAGGTAATTGAGAAAACGAAGGGAAATTATGTGCTTTGGAGTCAGAAAAAAGTTTAATTATTTTCGCCACCGGTCAAGGTCATTCCTTAATCGACTTTCCCCAACAGCAAATTGGTCGTGATTATTTGAAAGAAAAGAGAAATAAAATTCAAGCCATTATTATTAATAATACTAGTTTTCGTAATATTGGCTTATTAGAAAACATTTGTCAAGAACTCGGACCAAATATTCCTCTTTACACCAGTGCTTTTAGTAAAACGATACTTACTTACCTTTTCCCTAAACTAAGAAATAAAATAATAATTGCCGAAAAAAATAAAGAGTTGAAACTAAATGATTTTACTATAAATTTTTTTCCTCTGAATAGTTATTTACTCGGTAATCTCGGTATTGCTTGCCATTATTTCCAATATAGTTTCTATTTTTTGGAAGATTTTGTTTTTAGTACTTTATTAAATAATGAATTACTGACTCAGCCCGGATTTTTACTTGGTTTGCGAAATTTTTTGGGACAAAAAAAGAAAAATACTTATCTGATTACTAGTTGCCAAAATATGCATTGGTATAATAATAATTCGCTTTTTTTAGCGAAAAATAAATTACCTTTATCTACTACCACTAAATCGTTATTTTTTCTCCTTTACGATTTTGATTGGCTCCATATCTTAGAGTTGTTAGAAATAGTTCGGAAATGAGGTAAAAAAGTCATTATTCTTAATAAAGAGTTTGCCACTTTGATTAAACGAATATTATTCAAGCATTCTCTTTCCGAAGTAATTAGTCTGGAGAAAAAAGGCAAGTCTATTGGAATTTATTTATTGGTTACTAATCCCGAACAAATGAAAGAAAAAATAAGTTATCAGTTAGAACAATTTCCCGCAGAAAGAAAAAATAATTTTCATTTTGTTCTCGGTCTTCCGCCGGTGGTAGGCGGGGAAGAAAAACTGGCAGGCTTAGTCGATTATCTTTACACCCAAAGCGAAGAAATAACCAATTTCAGTAAAAGTGAATACTTACGGTTAGGAATTAGCCTTACTGACTTACAATTAATTTGTCAACTGTTACAGCCGACCGGCATTATCACTTTACAAAACAGTTATAAAAATGAGAAATTTTTAGCTCATTTGCCCGAAAAATTTTTGACTTTAACTAACGGTTATTCCTGAGATTTTGCTGGTAAAAAACTGACACCTTTTTCCACCAAAAAAAGTTTATTAAGTTTAGAAGAATTATTAGTTAAACAAAGAAAAAATTTGGGGCAAGCCGGACTGCTGGTTATCTGCTTATTTGCAGAATGAAAAGAAAATAGTTTACAATTAAAGGAAACAAAAATCGAAAATTTAGCACTCGGGTCGGTTTTAAATATTTCCAAATTAGAAAATAAAATAAAAAATTGATGAGGAGGAAAACTAGTTTTTGGCTTAAAAAAAAACGACCAAAATAAAATAATAAAAAAGGTTATTGAACGAAGGCTGAATGGTTTAGTAAGTAGTTATTTGAGTCTCGAACATGGAATAGAATTAGAAGAATCATTCATCTTATTATTTGTTCGCTAGTGGTTAGAAGTAATAAATATAAAAAACTATAATATATGGAACAAGTGGATATAATTAACCAAAAAGGTGAAGTAGTAACTAGTCAACGACTTGATTCTGCCATTTGACAAATTCCGTTTTCCAAGTGGAATATTTCGTTGGCTAATCGTTGTTATTTGGCTAATCAGCGGCAAGGAACCAAAAAAACTAAAAGTAAGGGTGAAGTCTCCGGTGGAGGGAGAAAGCCGTGAAAACAAAAAGGAACCGGTCAGGCTCGACAAGGCTCGATTCGTGCCCCACAATTTCGCGGTGGAGGAACCGTTTTCGGACCTCGCGGAGTAGAAAATTATTCACTCGCTATTAATAAGAAGTTCAAAAAAAAAGTTTTTCACTCGCTTTTAGGGGAAAAAATGAGAAAGAAAGAAATAGTAATTATTGATAAATTGGTATTAGAAAACTATAAAACTAAAGAAGCCAAAAAACTCCTTAATGATTTACCAAACAAGAGCCAAAAAACTTTAATTATTCTGGCCCAAAAAGAAGAAAAAAAACTGGAATTAACTCGTTCTTTTCGTAATCTTCCTTATATAACTATTATGGATAGCAGTTCACTTAATACTGCCCAAATTTTACCTTTTAATTCACTTATTTTTACTTACCCGGCTTTTCAGGAAACCGAAAAAAGATTAAGTTAAAAAATTTTTTTTCACTATAATATATTAATTGATAGCAAGAAGAGTTATCATAAATTAAGATAATATAATAATCACCATGTCAGAAAATAATATCAAATGTGCGAAATGCCAACAAAAGGCGGGAACTCTGCCTCGAACAAACGAGTTTACTGAAACTTATCCAATAAGAGACAAAGACGGAAAAATATACTGCTGAGATTGCTACAAAAGTTTTTCTCACTGTAAAGGTTGCCAGAAATCAGTCGCTAATTTGAAATTTCCGTGAAGCGGTAATCCCTATTACCCTCATGCTTCTGGTTATAGTTCCCAATGTGAACGAGTAAAAAATAAGGTTGAGTTTATTTGCTCGGAAAAGTGTGGCAAAAAACTAGTCGGGGGAAAAATTCAGGATTGAAAAGACAAATTAAGCCAAGGTTGAACTAAATGCGAAGAGTGTGTAAAATTTTGATTAGTGGAATGAGTAAAAGATACTGGTTGTGAATGAATGAAAGAGGAAAAACACCAGTGAAAATTTATCAAGTTAGCCCAACCCGGTCAAGGGAAATTATGTCAAGAACATAGGGATTGAAAGGAAGGAGGAAAACAAAAATACGAAGAATGACACAAAGAGATTAAAAATCAAGCCCAAGAGCATTGGAATTCTCTCTCCTATGAAGAAAAGTTAAAATTAGTAACAAGAGAGCGTCCAGGAGATAAAAATTGTGAGGAAATGGCGGCTCGGCAAGAAATAGACCCCTTAGTATTAAGCCGATTTGTGGAAAGAGATAGCCACCGCAAACATAATTGTCCCGACTGCTCCTTAAAAAATTATCCTTCTCAACTACCACCAAGCAGCAATAATAACAACCTTTCTGGTTCTTTGACTGATAACGCCGAAAATGATAGGGGAAAAGACCAAAAAAATACTAAAAACCAGGAAAGTGCCAGTTCTAGCTTGGCAAATTTTTTCGGTAAAAACGGCAATTATACTGGTTTAATTGCTAGCGGAATTGTGCTTGGTCTATTGTCCGCAGTGGCAACAATTTTAATAATAAAAAAGAAAAGGACTAACCATAAAAAATAACCCAAAAATAAAATAAAAAACTATGAACCAAAATAATAATTGTAATAACCTCGGCACATGTAGCGAGTGTAAAAATAAATATTGGTTGGGTGAACTTATTCAATTAGACAATTGACCGGAGAAAGGGTCTTTATGTCGCGATTGTCTCCTAAAAATTGAAATACCTTGTCGTCGCTGCTCTAAGTTTTTTAACAAAATTGAACGATTTGCCGATTGAGAAAAAAAGAATTACGAACAGCACGAAAAAGTAGACCGAGAGAAATGGGAAAAAGAAAAACCCGACGAAAAATGCTGACCTTATATCGGTTGTGAATACTATATTCAGGGCGGTCAATTCTGTAATAAAAAAGAATGTAAAGGTCATTCTGTTCCCCAACACGGACATTTTTGTTCGAGAGATTGTCATGAAGAATGGAACGGAACCATTAACCGAAACAGTGCTAAATATAAAGAATGAAAAGTCCACGCGGAAAAACTAGGCTGAACTCCTTGTCAAGAAAAAGATATTTATCGGGACGATTGTGAAAAGTTTCGAAAATGAGTTCGAGAGAAATATGGTGAAGAAGACTTTGCTTGTAAAAATATGGCGGCTCCCGGAGAAAAATTCTGTGAATACTGTAAAGAAGAACACCAAAAAGGTTATAAAGTAGTAGAAGCGAAAAATTGAGTAAATAATTACCGCGATTACTGGCACTTAACCACTGACAAAAATGTTTGACCTAATAATAGGAATAACAATTCGCAAAGTAGTCTATCCAGTTCCAATAATGAAGAAAAAAAAGTAGAATTGGAGAGAAAGTTAGAAATAGCCATAAGTCAACGTAGTCCCAAAAAAGAAATAGAAAAATTACAATTGGAACTGCAAAATTTAAATAATCAGCCCAAAAATAATTCCAAGCCGGAAAAAAATAATAACGGGCTAATTGGAGGTATAGTAATATTTTTTGGTCTGGCTTTGCTTTTAGGAATTACTATTTTTGTTAGCAAAAAGAAGAAACGACCCTGACTTTCGGCCAAGCAAAAATAAACGATAAAAAATAAAGATATATGATAATTCAAAAACCCATTTTGACGGAAAAAGGTCAATTAATTTACCAAAAAAGTAAGTTTTACGCTTTTTATGTGCTTCCCTCGGCTAATAAATTTCAAATTAAGCAAGAGTTAGAAAAAATGTTCCCAATAAAAGTGAAAAAAGTTCGCACTAGTCGCCAAAAACCGGTTTTACATAAAGCCCGCTTTTTACAAAAATCACCGAGCAAAATTTATACTAAATTAAAAAAAAAAGCCTTTATCGAACTAATGCCCGGTTCTAAATTACCCGAAGTTTTTGAAGAGTAAATAAAACTCTCCACTAAATTTAAGTAACTATAATTATGATATCGACTTATAATGAATTTTAATTTTTGGGACAAAAAAAGGGTCAGAATCGCTCATTTAGCCGATATTCACATTAAAGATAATAGACGTGAGGAATATTCAGTTGTTTTCGAAAAGTTATATCAACAATTACATTTGGAATCTCCCGATATCATTGCCATTTGTGGTGATATATTTCATGATAAAACTAAGGCCAGTGCCTATAATTACTCGGATGTTGAATCTTTTTTAATGAGGCTAATCGAAATAGCCTCAGTAATCCTAATACCCGGCAACCATGATTTAAATATTAAGGTTCCCGGAGCACCTGATTTAATTTCGCCCGTAGTTAGTAATCATACAGTATTGAAAGAACCGAGGTTTAATTACTGACGTAATTCCGGAGTATACGTAGCCTATGGTATTATTTGAGTAGTAATTGCTCCGGATGGTTCCCAACCCTCACCCAAGGAGATAGAAGAAACCGCAATCTCTCATAATCTTAAAAATAGTCCACAAATATGCCTAATTCATGAAACTATTGATGGAGCCTTATTATATAACGGCACTTCGTTAAGAGATAAAAGATTAGCCCCGAGAGACCTGATAAATTATGACGCGGTTCTAGCGGGAGACATTCACTTACAACAAAATATCGGCGGAAGTAAACGGGCCATGTACGCCGGGTCTTTAATTCAGCAAAATATCGGAGAATCACATAGCGGTCACGGATTTCTTATTTGAGAGTTAGAATTAAGCACCGAGCATTCACCTTATCGCACTCCTTTTCCAAAAATTCGCCGAGTTAATATTCCCAACGAACAAGGATATTTAAAAGTTAAATTACAAGGAGGAAAGGATATAACTATTCAACCTAGTCCCACCTCCCCTAATTATTATGAAATAATATATGATGAAACTACCACCACCGAACAACTTAATTTTCAAATCGAACGCTTGACTGAAATTTACGGAATTCCTCCCCAAGCCACTCGCTTAATAAAAAATTCTCCTGATTTATTATTTGATAATGGTTTTTCTTCCACGTTAGGTCAAGCCCAAATTGACGCTCAATCACTAGAAACTCACGAGGAAATTATTCGTGGTATTCTCGGTGAAGAAAATCCTTATGTTCGCCAAGTTATCGAACTCCACCGTAGTTATTACTTAAATACCCTAAGTCAAGGACGAACTCGGGCTCGGGTTCGTTTGTTACAATTACAATTCAGCAATCTTTATTGTTATGGACCAGACAACTTAATTGACTTTACCCATTTGAATAGCAGTTTAAGTGGTGCAATTGCTCCCAACCGGGCGGGAAAATCTACCCTCATTGACATTATCGTCTTTGCTCTTTATGATAAATACCCCCGCGCGGAAAAAAAAATAGACATTGTTAATGCTAAATCGACCGAATATTACTTGCGATTGGATTTTGAATTAGACGGTAAATTTGGCTATATAGAAAAGCAAGGTAAAAAAAACAAAAAAAAGCATGACGCTCACTGTAAATTAGTATATGATAATCAGGAACTAACTCAGGGCACCAATACTCTAACTTGTCAAGAAATAGAAAAATTAGTAGGAATTTATTCTAACGCGGAACTTACTGCAATTTTACACCAAGATAGTCGGACTGATTTCGTGCAGTTAAAATCTAGTGAAAGAAAGCAGGCTCTAGCTCGACTACTAGCTTTGGGTTCTTTTGAAAAACTGGAAAAAGAAATGCGGGAAGAAAGCCGGGAAATGAACGGTAAAGTGAGTGCATTGGAAGAAGGATTTCAGGGTAAAGAGGCAGCCGAAATAATCAAAGAAAAGCAGAATTTTATTAATAGTGGTAATGAGGCAAAAAATCAACTTCAAGGCTTAGACAACAAGTTAGAAGTGAAAAAAAAAGATTTACGTAATTTTGTGGAACAAAAAGAGAAACTTTCTATTAATTTAGCCCGGATTCAAGACAAAATCACTAATTTAGGTCCTGAGTGCTCAATTAGTTTAGGCGAGGCGGAGACTGAGTTAGAAAAAATTTTAAAAATAATTACCGTCGACGCCCAATTATCTCCCACAGAAGAATACGCCACCTATCTTTTTCATTCTACTGATAATAATTTCACCGCTAATATTGATTTAGAGTTGATAGCAATTCCCACCCGCGACCAAGTATTAGAAATTATCCAACAAGTCCGTTTAGTTCAAAAAAACAAGAAAGAACAAGAATCGAAAATCTTAGCAGAAATTAATCGCTTAGAAACCGATAAAGCACGGATAACTGCCTTTCTAGAAACATCTTTCAAATATTTACAAGAAAATCACACTAAATTACTAATTGATATTAAAGAGTTGAAAGTAGAAAAACCCACCGTTAAGCGACCAGAGGAGAAAGAAATGCCTTGGTCGACCTACCAAGAAGGACCGCGACCCAGCTTAGAAGAAGTGATAAAAGGAAAAAATGAATTAACTTCTTTCCAAAACGAAAAAACTTCCGCCCGAACCATCATTTTACAAAATTTAGCGGTGGTTTCCAATAATTTAGTTCCTCCAGTTCAAGACGAAAAAGTCGGAGAATATGACACTCTGTTGGCTTCATCAGCGAAGGACCGCGAACTGATTTCTAATAAATCATCATTAGAAGCAGAGTTTCAGTCAGCTAAATTAAAATTAGAAACTGCCCGCTTAGCCGAAAGCAAACATAGTCCAAATTTGTTAAAAAAAGTTAAACGCCGGTTCTGAACCACGGAGACTTTACGATTTTTAGATACGCTTACTATCCAACAAAAAGTCGAAGACGTGAAAGTAAAATTACTAGCCGCTGAGAACGCCCAGCAAATACGCCGGCAATTAAAATTACAAGAAAATTGCTCGGGTTGTGAATATACTAAAAGTCTATTCGCAGAAGACAAAATCACACCCTTGCAACAAGATTTAGAAAATATTCTATTGGAAGCGGCAAGTTCAACCATTTATAATACTTATTTAGCCGAAAAAGAGATGCTTAAATTAGAGTCTAATTTACAACAAGTTGAGTTAGCCCAAACCAGGATAGAACGATTAACGGAAATTCAAGACCAAAGAGAAAAATTTATTGATTACCAAGTTCTACTGAAAGAAAAAAACTATTGACAACGAAAAATGAACGCTTTGGAAATTCTGGAAAGAGTTGCTTATTGGTGGCAAGTCGATAATGAAACTTGGCAAGAATATGATTCCGCAATTACTCAACTGAAAAAAATAGGCGATTGGCAGAAAGAATTATCTTTAATTTCCCAAAAATTAGCCGAGTCACAATCTTCATTGACAGAATTAGTTCGATTAGAAACCGAGTCGCTTAAAACTGAAAATCAATATATTAATTTACGGAAATTGGGATTAGAAAAAGTTATATCGGCCGTCAAAAATGTTGAAGATGTGAAAGAGGCGGCCAAAAATCGAGCCGAACGCCATAAATTACAAATTGAATCCCAACTGACCAAAAAAAAAATCGCTGATTATAAGGAAAAAATAATTTCTTTGGAATCAGAATTGACTGATTTAGGCTCGCAACGAGACAAAACTATGGGTCAAATAGCATCAGCCGAAGCCGAGGTCAAGCGGCTCAATAAATCTTTGGTTGAGGAAACCAAAAGAAAAGATTTATTAACTGAGACCCAAGAGAAAATTAACATAATAACCGCCTATCGGAAAATCTTGGACCCGAAAACGGGAATCGCTGATTATTTGCTAAAAAGGTCCCGTGCTTATTTAGAAGAGGCGGTTAATTCTGTTCTGGGAGAATGTAGCACTAATTTTCGCGTTTATATTAACGAGGAGTTTGAGTTAAGTACTTCGGTTAATAACCAGTCCGAACAAGGCTCAGAAGTATTTCTTTCAGCCACGCTGGGTAGTGGATACCAAAAGTTTGTTCTTAGTTTGGCTTTTCGTAAGGCTCTTTGGAAATTAGCGGAAGTTCCTTTGCCCGACTGTCAATTTATTGACGAAGGATTTGGTTGTTGCGATGAAGATAATCTCGAAGCAATAGCCCAATATTTAGTTGTTAGCACTTCTGCTCTCGATTCTCCTAGCCTGATTTTTATTGTTAGTCATATCGAGACGCTAAAAAATGCTATCCAAAAACCTTTAATTATCAAAGTTGGGTCATTAGGCAGTGAAGTTAGGAATGACAGTTAAGCTTTCTTTAACATCTCATTTAACTTTTCTGCGGGGAGTTTTTGGCATCATTTACAAAAAGGATTTTCAGTTCGAAAATACCCACACATTATTATTATTTGTTTGCTGGGTATGTAATGATTATTACATGCTTTGCACTTAATTTTTGGTTTCCTTATAGGATATCCAGCCACTCATAACATATTAATATTAAAGGCTATTTAAAAATTTGGCAACTATATAAATTTTCAACTACTTTCTTTTCTTTCTTATTTTCCTAGGTGGAGAGTTTAACACAAGGCTTTTATTACTCTGTCAAACTCCTCTTTTGGCTTACTGGCCGGATATCATTATCCTTTTGTTTCACCGAATAAATTTCCTTTTTATTTAACTTTTTTCATTAATAACTATATACTTAGTTTTTAACTTTTAAGAGATTATGCGTGAAAAAAAAAGCTTAAAATTATAATATTATGTTAATAGATATTTTTGCCTCATTATTTATAGCAGGGATGTTCCCTGAAAACATTCACATATGAGTATGGGTTATTTTCTGACCTCTCGTATTTGGTTATTGAATATACAGTGTAATCAGATTAAGTAAAAATAAAAGTAAAGGTGGAATGTGAGCCATATTATTAGTTGGTTTGTTTATATCTTTCTTTTTCGCTTGTATAGCCAGTATGTTTATTAGTAGTGATAAAGATGGAGAGAGAGAGAGAGAGAGAGAGAGAGACAAAAAAATTTGCTTAAATTGGCTTAAATTTTAGTAAGTTAGCTAAATCACTATCTTTAATATATAAGGCGGTAGTAGAGACCCTACTATGACCCAATACTCTTTGTAAAATATTAAGTGGCATTCCGGCTAAAAGGTTATAAGTAGCAAAACAACGTCGTAAAGTGTGGGGAGCTAGTTCAATGTTGGAATTAATTTCTAAATCCTGACGAACTCGCTTTAAAAACTCTCAAAAATCCCTTCGTTTAGTTCTATTAGGTTGTCAATTATGTTTCTTTAATATTTCCACTATTTCGGGTGCCAGATAAACATAGCGGTCTTTTCCTCTTTTACCTCGCAACAAATATAGTTCCTGATACTCGGATTCGGGATGCTTTAATTCTAAATTAAAATTAATGGCTTCGCTGACTCGCAAGCCGACTTTTCAACATAAGAGAAATAAACAATAATGGATTCATCTTTTTCTTTCGCTTTTATGATTGGGTCGAGTAGTAATAAAATCATGAATTTCTTGTAATAATTGTTGAGAAGGAAGCTGTTGTAAGCGACTTCGGACTTTCATTATAATTTGTTTTACCTTTTAATAATTAAAAAAATAAATATTTGTTTTTTGACTTTTATTTAATTTTATTACTTTTTTACTTCTCTAAATATTCCTCTTTCTTCATTTTAATTAACTTTTCGCCGGTAAATTGATAAACATAATCGACATATTTAAATATCTCGTAATGGTGGTCAATTACTAAGGTAGTTTTATTTTTTATTTTGGTAAATATGTTTTGGAGAATAATTTCTTTTAAATCCGGGTGAACGTTGCTTAATATTTCATCTAAGATATAAATATCATAATCACGAATGAATATTCGCATAGCGGCAATTTGTTGTTTTTGTCCTTCGGAAAGGTCGGTGCCTCCTTCTCTTAATTCGGTGGCAAATTGGTTCGGCAATTTTTCAATAAATTCTCAGATGCCAACTTTTTTGGCCGCCTGAATTAGTTTGTTTGAATCCTTTTCTTTATTATATTTATAAGGGTAAAAAACATTTTCGGCAATTGACATGCGAAAAAAGGCGGGGCGATTAGTTTGGTGACAAATTCTTCGGTGTAAATTGTTAGTATCTATTTCTTGAATATTACGCTTACCAATTAAAATTTGCCCGGTTTTTATCTCATAGAGTTTGAGGGTAGTTTTGGTAATAGTGCTTTTGCCGATACCATTTTTGCCAGCAATACCATAACTTTTGCCTTTTAGAAAGCGAAAAGAAAAATTCCGCAAAATATCTTGCTGTGGTCTTTTTGGATAAGCAAAGACAACTTTATCAAAAATTATATCACCATTTTCAAAGGGAAAAGTGGGATTTGTTGGCAAATAACGCAGTTCACCAGGGCTTAAGCTTTTTACACTTTCGCACACAATAGTCAGATAACTAGAAAGTTGGTCCAAAGTTAATAACGCATCAACTATTTTATTCACTTCATTATTTAAATTGCGAACCGCAAAAAAATAAAGAGCGAAATTACCGACCAAGTACACAGCCGGTCGCGACCGGTTCAGGTTTGGTCCGAAAGTAAAAACTAAAGCCAAGAAAAAAACCGGAATATTAGGGATTATAACGTAATTAGGAACTGCTTTAAACAAGGTGCTATATCAGAGAGATTTTTTATTCTTCCGAAAAGTCGAATCTAATTGCTTACTAATTTTTTCCTCCTCGTATTTTTCACCCGAAACTGCCTTAATATATTCTAAGTTATTAATTCGTTCGTAAATAATTTTATTGTCTTCTTCTTGCCTTTTTTTGGCCGCAATATTTAATTTACTGGCTTTTTTAAACAGTATTACTTCACTAATAATCAAAATAACAAATAAACCCAGCACAATCGCTATGAAAGGTCAATTTATTCCCTCACTACCAAAATTAAAATCAAAAAGGAAAAGTAAAAAAATAGAAGCGAAAACATAAATCAAGCGATTAGGAATAAATCAGATATCATAAGCAATCTCGTCTAAATCGCTGGCAAATTGGGGGATTAAGTCCCGAGAAACCTCGACCGAATTGGTATATTTAGCCCGGATAAAATGGTGAAATAAATCTTTTTTTAAATCACGTTCAATACTGTCGTAAGCATAAGACATTAGGTAATAATGAATCAGAGAAAATAAACTTTTGACGATAAAGACCAGAATTAAACAATAAATAATGAAGCGCCCGAAACCTAAATTTTCTTGTTTAAATCGCCAACCAAAAAAGTTAAATTCGAATTCAAAATCCTCCTTATTCCAAACTGCACGACCTTCTAACCCGGCCTCATTAACTATTTTCTTAGCTTCTTTTTTATCTAACGAACCCTCACCTTTTATTTGCTGATGCTCGCTAATTTTTTCTTTGACTTCTCGCTGTTGTTTATCATTTTGTTCGGC